CTGCGCAGCACGCGGCTTGTGTAGCGGGAAACAAGCTGAGGCCCCTGAAAAAGAGAGGCAGGGTTTGGTCGTGTGGGTGTCCCGCAAAACACAGGTCACTCGGTGCCCCCCTCGGGGGAGAGGGACGGCGGTCCGGCAGCCCAAAGGTAGGGGGGCAATCCAAGGTGTTTGGTGTTTCTCAGCAGCTCGGCTTGGGAGCTGCAAACAGGAAAATGCATTTTCCTTTCATAGCCTTGATAAAATGCTCTCTCTTCTCCTCCCGCCTCACTGTCTCCAGCAGCCTGTGCCGTATCGCTGCCGGCTCCACGGGGAGCGCGGGGCAGGGTGTGAGTAGTGTGTCCTCGGGTGAGGGGTTGGAGAAAAGAGCTCTTGGTCTGAGGACATGGAAAAGAGGATCTTGCGAGATACAGAGGCGCAGATTTAGGGAAACTTTGGCCGTCTTGGTCTCTGGAGGCTGCTTTCTTGGGTGAGAAAAGCAGATAACCCTGCAGTCCTACATCAAATGCTGCTGGTCCCCCGCCAATTCTCTGCCTCTCAGCTGCGGTTTTCTTTCCTTGTTTTGTTTTCTTTGGCTGTAAAACTCTGAGATGTCATCAGCTTGGTACCCTGTCCTCTTCCCAGGCTTCCCCACTGAATCCAAGGATACGTTCTCCACCCAAGGTCACCTCCACGCAGGGGTTTGCCCAGGAGCTGAAGCTTTTGTCCCTGCTGACCCAGCTCTGTCTCCTCTCTTCCAGGTGTGTGCGGCTGCTGCGGCGCCCTGCGTCCTCGCTACAAAAGACTCGTCGACAACATCTTCCCTGAGGACCCAGAGGTAAACGAGTTGCTGCTTCACGCGCCGAAGCTCCGGTGCTTCACACACCAAAGCCTCGGCGCTCGGGTTTGCAGGGACACGGTGTGACCTGCCCAGAAACAGCTCCCGGGAGGTGGGCGATGCTTTGACTCCATAAAACCGTGCCTGGAGGGTTGGATTTTCCTCTAAAGACTGTTTGTGAGTGGAAATACAGTCACATCGGCCTGGAGGGACAGGCTTCCTCTCCCAAAGGTGCTGGGCAGATGCTGAGGACGGATGGATGGGAGGATGGGGAACCGGACCTGAAGGCGTATGTCCTTCTCTTTGCAGGATAAGGAAAGCAGCTTCTAAGAGAGGGGGTCTCGTGGGGCCTCAGCCAGGCTTGCGAGCTCAAAAGCTGCTTATGCTTCCAGGATGCGGGAAAGCTGGTGCCCTGCTTGCTGCCTCGCTGAATTGGAGAGGGCGGATGCCCTGCCAGCTGCGCCTGGAGCATCCCAAATCCGACCTCTTTGTGTCCTGTTCAGAGCCGAGATGCGAAGGCAGTGGAAGAGGGGCTCCCGGCTGGGGGTAGCGGGGCTGGGATCACCCGGGGAGGTGGTGAGCGCCTGTTTTATCATGGCGCTGGCAGCAAAGCTGAACAAGAGAGGAGGCCGCTGCCGAGCCGTGCGGAGAGGAGGAAGCACCGCGGTTTTCCACGCTGCGGGGAATTGGGGCTGACAGCTTGGCGTGCTTGTGTCGTTTGGCCTCGGCAGCCCGGAGGTGGTGATGCCCCCGTCTGCCCCTGTGCCCGTCGGCGCTGGGGCATTGCTAGGGGCTGGCAAACGGTTCTCGTTGGATTTACGCTGTGGGGTGCTCAATGGATGCTTGCACTGGAGTCACCCTTGGCTGTGGTGCATCAGAGAGCCCTCAGCTGAGGCTAAATGCAATCCTCATTTGCCTTCCCTGGTGTGCAAGGCGTGGGGAAGCGCTGGGACGGGACTGGCCTGCTCCAGACCTCTGGCATCGCTGCCAAGGTTTGCTACAGGGATTCTTCTGATGTTTGCGGGTCTGGATGTGAGGCCGTGATGCCCTGTGCTGCTCTCTTTCAGGATGGGCTGGTGAAGACCAACATGGAGAAGCTGACATTTTACGCCCTGTCTGCCCCGGAGAAGCTGGATCGCATCGGTGCCTACCTCTCCGAGCGGCTCATCCGAGACGTGAGCCGGCACCGATATGGGTAAGGGCTGGGAGGCTGTTTCAGCCGTCCCAGTGATTGGTGTAACAACGGGACACCGGATCGTAGAGGGGGCCCAGGCTAAGGGTGGAACGTGTGGGGTAAGCAGCTCCCGCGTGCTCCAAGCTGTCCTGAAGCTGTGAGCACGCTGCGGAGAGACCCGATCGTGTCCTGCTTCCGAAAGTGAGACATGGGAGCATGCAGGGATGTGCAAACTCCTTGCAAAGTTGCAAGGGACCAGGCAAGCTGGGAGCTACGTAGTGTTTCCCTGGCATCGTGCTGCCCGTGCTTGAGGAATCTGCGTGTGTTTGGTGTTTGTCCCTGGCAGCGGGACTGCCATCATCCCTCCGGGCCATCGTCAGGAGCCTGTGGCACCCTCTTGGCCTTTAAAAGCCTAGATGGAAGTCTGGCTAGGTGTGGGCAAGCAGCTAAATGGGGTGGCCCTGGCTGCAGCTTGCTGGGAGTTATTCGGGACAAGTTTGGATGTGTTGCACCCCACGCGGATCTCTGTTGAGCTACGGTGACGTGGCACAAGCGGGAGCGAGGATGCTTTTCCAGAGAGCACGTGATGGGGATGCATTGGGCTGGATGGGCATCGCTGCGTTTGCTCTGTCCGCCTTACCCGTGTGGTCCCGCCTGGGCCCTCTTCCCTTCGTCTTCCCTCCCCGCATCGCTTCCAGCAAGGTTTTGCCGTGTTTTCTGCAAGGAGAGCAGCGCCCGCCTGGAAATAGCTGACTGCCCTGATTAGAAGCGCTGGGGGGAGGACGGGACGGCTCCTTCCCTTTGAAATAGCTCCTGGATTGATTCTTGTTGTCTCCCGAACAAAGCCACCGCAGACAAACACGGCTCAGCTTCGTGGTGCGAACTTCAGCCTGCCTTTTATCCCGGGGGAAGAGAAGCCAGCAGTCTGCCTAAGAAGTGTTAAAGTTGGAAAAACCTTCAAAGTCTCATCTGCATCACCCGTCATTGGGATTGACAGGACATTCAAAGCTCTGCCTGATGTTCTGCGGTTAAGCGGCTGTTAACAGGCTCTGCTTGCTATGCTGGGGGGGAAAAAAAAGGCTTTCAAAGATTTTTGACATCTAATGACAAGCCTCAGTGGGTGGAGGGGGGGAATATATTCCTTCCTCCACCGCCTGTGCATACGGGCACGTAACTGGGTTGGAGCACTAGCTAATTTTCCAAGTCTTAACTTTGAAATGCCTGAAATGGGTTTGGATCAACCTTTTGTTTGTAGGTCGGTGTTGGCTGGAGCAGCAGGGCTTGTCCCGCTGCAGACACCGCAGCCGGGCTTTGAAAGAGCAGCCGAGCCCGTGGGTACCCGTCTCCTGCGTGTAAGATGAAGGTAGCCTTGAGTTCGGGCCAGTTGGGTGTCATCTTTCTGTTACATTTATTGCTAAAAGGGAGAAAATGCTCTTGTTTGAGTGTACAGCAATGCAACCCACCGTCTGTAAGAGGATGGTTGGGGTAGGTCGGAGGTGACAACTCCACCAATGTCCCTTTTCCCTCTTGCTGGCCTGAGTCCTGTTGTCCCCGAAAGAGAAGCCGAGCTGTTGCAATAATATCGGGCACAGAATGTTGTTTTCAGCCTTGTTTCCTGCAAGAAAGGAGCTCGATGCTTCACGCTGGTCGTCAGTCACCTCTTTATACCTTTTTTTTTTCCCCTCCGGGCCAGTTTTAACCCAGTTTGGCAGATGGCGAAGAGCCTCACAGATCCAGAAATAGTTGGCTGCTTATTTTCACAGTATCTGGAAGAGCTGTGATGGTGTCTGAAGGACAGGACGCAGTGTGAGCTCAACCATGCCACAAAACACCAGAGAATCTACTCAAGACCGGAGCCAGATTTCGACAGTCCTGGAGCCTCGGGAGAAGGGATCGGTCTTGCTGTGTTTTACCAGCTGGAACCTGGAATTCCAGGGTTTATCAGACACCTCCTTTTTCCCCACGAGTGCGAGGAGCTGGCTCGAAAAATGGAGATTAAAGGAAGAATCGTGCTCAATGCAAAGAGATCTATGCTTGCCGCCTCCCGGTTTTGGCCGCGGCAGGAGATCTGGGCTCGATGCGAGCTGCTGTGGTACAAATTCACAGCGGCACAGAGGGCAGGAGTCAAAGGGAGGTGGTAAGGAGCTGTAAAGTTTGTTTTATTCCCAGTGTCCTGGTACCAGGTCCATGGCAGGTGTTGGGATACCGCAGGTCCTGGAGCTGTGACACTCGGTGCAATCTCCATTTGGGTTTTTTCTGTGTTTTGGGCAACTCCAGCTGGAATAAATGTCTGCTCAAAGCAGTCAGAGGCGGGGGTTTGCTTCTCCGCTGGGCTTTACGCACACAGCAGCCCACCAGGAACTGGAGGTCAGCGTGGTCGTGGCCCGAGCAGCCCGTCCAGGGGCTCCAGCCACCGCGTTGGTAATGAACCAGATACTGTCGATGCAGAAAGTGCCGCAGGACCAGCCTGCGAACGGGCTTCTCCAGAGCTGCTCCGAGCAACCGGTCCAATTTGTCTTGGAAACACAAAGCGGCACCTGACAAATTCTGCAATCGCAGTATAAGCATCTGGGCATCTCTGTAACGGGCACCCGATCGAGATTTGATTCATCGCTGGGCACGAAGTTTTCCAGCTTCCTCTCAGAGGCAGGAGCGTCGCAGGACTGGCTTAATAAACAGCCTGGAAGATGCGCCGTAGCAGCTTGCGGCGATGCCAGAGAGTGGTCTGTGATCGGGAGGGATGGTGGAGGGACGTGCCGTGCTCAGGGAGGACCCCTGCCTGCCCCAGGGACCCATCCCGGGTGCGTCCCGTCTTGCTGCTGTGTTTTGAACCGCGTTCTGCGCTTCCCCTGTCCCCGTCAGCACGCAGAGCCAAGGCTGAGGGAGCCCCGTCCCTCTTCCAGGGATGGGGACTGAGGCCATCCAGGCGTGGGCAGTGCTGGAGGAATTTCTGGGGTGATGTGCATATGCTTCGCAGGGTTGCTTTGTTGTGTATTTAAGCACAGCTCTTCTGGAGCACATCAGTCTAATTCTGTGGTCTCATCCTGTCCCTCCTGCCTGGCCAGGACCGGCTGGGTTTGGGAGAAAAGGCTGTGTTTGACGCTGAGCCCACGCCGTACAAAGCCCAGAACTCCCTCACGGGATATAAAAACCAGTTCAGGGCAAGGGAAGTCCACGCGCGGTGCAGGGGGGAGACGGAAGGCGTTGCTGGCAGCCTTGGTCCTGGGGCCACTGGGTCCTCGCTAGGAGGAGAGATGCTGGGAGCAGCCAACACCATCTAAAAATATCCCAAGGGTATTTTGGGTACGAAATTTTTCTCCTTGGGTTGATCGCGGCAGGAGGTTGGTGTTTCGCTGGTGGGTACCCAGGTGGTTTGGGAGAGGGGAGGAGGAGGGACAGGAGGCCCATGCTGCTGTCGGGGAGTGACCCTGGTCTCTGCTCGCTCCCAGGTATGTGTGCATTGCCATGGAGGCCCTGGACCAGCTCCTCATGGCCTGCCACTGCCAGAGCATCAACCTCTTCGTGGAGAGCTTCCTCAAGATGGTGGCAAAGCTGCTGGAGTCGGAGAAGCCCAACCTGCAGATCCTGGGGACCAACTCGGTGAGTAGAGGAGGTGACAGCACCCTGCTGACCCTGTCCTTGGCTTTTCACCCTGGCCGTCACCCCCACGTGCCTGCGCGGTGCCAGGCCAGGAAACCTCCTTGGGAAAGGACGGGGAGGATTTACGGTGTCCCCTCTCGTGTGCGCTGCCACGCGTGAGGGTCCCGAGAGCCCGTCTGTGCTGCCCACGCGCTGTCTCCGCTGCTTGCAGTCTGCGACCGGTCCCTGATCTCTGCTGCCATGCCTTCCCTCTCTTGAATTCAGCTTTTCCTAAACTAGCCCAAGGACACGGGGGCTGTCAGCGGTTTCGGAGAATAGACCGACTTAGAGGTGATCCCCATGGATTTTGGGAGCTCTTTGTGCTCAGATAAGAGCTGGCTTAAACAGAGCTGCAGCTTGCAATAAATGGCTTAGCTGGACCGGGGACGTGCCGTTCACAGACATAAAATGAGGGGAAGGAGAAGCACAATGAACAGAGGTGACGTCCTCCCAGCATCCAAACTGCTGATCCTGGCTGGCAGCCAGCAGCCACTTGTGCACGGCCTTTCTGCTGGTTTTTACTGGGAACGCCAGGCTTGCGAGGGCTCTGCCGGTGCCCGGTGGCTTGGCTTGGCCAAGCGGCATCTCTCCTTCCTGCTTTTTCTGAGAGGGTTTAGATGGAGCTGGTCATCCTGTGATGCTTCTCTCCTCCGGGAGCTGGCGCGGTCCCAGACATGGGATTGTAAATGCCTCCGCTGAGGTGTGGGGAGCCGAGCGGAGATCTTTCACACCCCGTTGCTCCCAGCTGAAAGCGATGCGAGCTGCCCGTCGGCAAACCCATTAATCCACGGCCCTTGAAGAACCAGGATTGATCCCCCGGTTGAGGGATCCAACACGCAGCACGGAGCCGAACCTCAACGGGAGCTGCCGGCACGGAGCCGGGGAGGGGACAGCCCTCACTGCAGGGACTCGCGATGCCACGGCAGAGGCTTCGGTGTGCCGGCCCCGACACAGACATCCTCGAGCGGGAGGCATTGGGTCAAGGCAAGATGGAGCCCTGCCTCGTGTTTCCTGCCCGTGCGGAGCAAACCTCCCGTGTTCAGGCACCCGCGGAGGGGAGAGCTGGTCCTGGGCCACGGATGGATGTTTCCTTAGCGCTGCTGTCGCTGCGGACAGGAATCAGGAGCGGGTGTTTTAATGAGAAGTCCAGATCAGGAGTGATGGTTTAGTGATGCTTTTTTTTTTTTTTTTTTGCCTTCTCAAGCGTGGCAGCGTTCAGAGGGCAAATAGCACAGAAAACTTATGGGCTTTTCTATAAAAGTGAGTAATGATAATGAGACACTTCTTCCTATATCTGCTAATGAGGAATGCGCCTCAGGCTCATGCTTAATTAGAGGGTGCTGTCTCAAGCAATCTTCACAATAACGGAGCTGATGGCAAAGGCGGGAGGAGGTTGTTTATAGAAACCTGCTCCCAGTGAGTCATTCTCCGCGGTGTGAAATTCTCGCCTGAGACACGTCTCCCTCCTTGCGCAGAGCCAAGGTGTCGCTCTGCGGAGGGGCTGATCCCGGGGACCAGCTCGCCGGGCCCCACGGCCGCAGCGCTGGAGGCGGCACTGAAAATCCAGCGTCCCGTGATCACTATAACCCCATCCTATAATCCCCAGGGTGAACATATGGAGCGGCAGCTTAAATCCACTTTGGTCTCTCATCCTCGTTAGGAGGCTGCTGGGCAACCTCCCCGCTTTGGGTAGGAACCATCTAATTTCCAGCTCGATGTCATTCCCATTTTATTTTTCCCTCAAACCAACATTGATCTTTCATTTAAACGGCTCTTCCCCCGCCTTGATGTTCCTCTTCTGATGTATTTACGTCTGATGTATTTATAGGTGGCAGCGTTATCCCTTCCCAGCCGTTGTTTTGCTTCTCCAAGGCAGCCGCGCTCCTCGCGTTTCCCCTGCGCTTGCTCCCCGCTCATCCCAGCCGTGTTTCAGTTGCAGCTTGTCGGCTTCAAGCAGGGGAGCCCCAAGCCGCCCAGCTCCGCACCCCTCAAACCACAGCAGAAATAGCGTTGCGTTTCAATGTTTTAAACCGTTTTCTCAGTGGAAATACAGCGTGAAGCTGCAGAGCAGCTTTTTGGCTGGGGCGCGGTGCCTGTTAGTGAAAATAAGTCGCTTTCCCTGAAGGTTTGATGCCTCCTTTCCCGCCAGCCCAGCTCTCGCTGGGTCATTTCCATGTGTCCTGGTGCTGGTTTTTGCCACTGGGCGCGGGTTGGCAGTGGGCAGCTCCTGTAATTGCTGCGTGGTACGGCATGCTTGTAGGGGCAGCCAAGTCTTGGAATGAGTCTTGGACAAATGCAATAGTCTGCAAGCAAGTGGCACAGTCCTAAAAACGTCCCGTAGGTGGAGCAAGGAGAGGCTTTGAGGCTGATTTTTCTCTATTTTTAGCCACTTTTTACAAGTTCTGGCCCTGCCAGAGGCTGCAGGCTGAAAACAGATGCAGAGAGGGCAGCCGCCTCCAGCTGTTGGCAGATGCGAACGCTGTGCCGCATCCAGCGTCTCCGGACATAGTGGCACCACGTGGGGACGTCCGTCCCCCGAGCACAGGGGTGGGCATGGCTCGCAGCCGGCCGGGGGAGCTGCCTTCGGAGCAGGGAGCCGAACCAGGGGCGCTGCTGGCGTGGATGGGCGGGCCGGCACTCCCGGGGGCTCGGCAGCTTCAGAATAAGGAGCGCCGATGAGGTGGTCCCGTTCGGTTGCCCGACGGCACAAAACGAGCTCCCGTCCTCGGCGTGGGTGTGAGGTTGATACCTGCAGATACTGGCTGCAGAGAAACCCTTTCCTTCCTTTATTTCACGATGTTGCTTGGCTTGGCCCCGGACCGGCCGCGGGGAGCCCCGTTAGTGCTCTTCGCTCTGCATCCTGCCCTCGCCTCCGGTTGCACGTGGAGATGCCATGAGCTTAAAATACCCACTTTGTGCGCTGCCTGGTACAGAGGTTTCTTATGTAACATCCCTGCATTTTTCTGGTGAGTAAGAGGAGTTTATCAGTTGGAGCTGGTCCCTGCACTCTGGGAACAGTTCCTGGCGGGGCTGAACCGGCTCCTTCGCTTGCGCAGAGCCAGTCTTTACAGCTGACGTTATTAATAGCCCGGCGCAGCGGGTACATGCTAATCAGCGCCCGCGTGATGCGTTGGGACGGGTGAGCTGGCTTTGCCGGCTGTGGAGGGGACGCCGGCTCTCCTGGCGGGGCTGGATGCCAGCAAACGCAGAAAGCCAAAAGTGAGAAAAGCCTGCTGATAAGAGTTGGGGTAAAGAAGGAGCTCCTGCACAGCGTGACATCTCCAGAAGGTGCTGAGCACCCTAAGAAATGCAGGCTGGACAGGCCACACCTTGGAGGCAGGGTTTAGCTTAAGTCCTCCCGGCTGGAAGAGGAGCCCGGCGGTCCTGATGCCTTGGCCCGGGACAGCTTGCCCGAGCGATGTGGGATTGCTCGGTGCGACCGCAGAGCTTTGTGCCGCGCTGTCCTAAGCAACGGGGCCGCATCGGCATCGCCGCTGCGTCGTGGTGCAGCGCGGCTGGCGGAAGCGCGTCCATGGGACGGGG